CATGTAATTAAAAGTCTAAACTGCAATAATTAGCAAGTACTATATTTTCCTCTCTCTTCAATTTATGTTCCGTATTTAAGCGTGATTTTTTTTAAACCATATTTAGGCTAAAATTTAGGAACTTATTATTAAAGATTTTATGATCTCATATTAATTAAATCAAGTTGTTTTTTAATTCATCCACGTAGTTTTAAACAACAAATTTCAGAATTGAATATACTTATTTCATCCATAAAGTATTTTAGATATAAAAAAACGAGTTCAAAATTTCAGTAAAACAATTTTTTCTAAAAAAATCAAGTTCCAGATTAAAAATAAAATAAAAAATGAAATCAAATTTTCTAAATATAGAATTCTTATTTTAAAAAAATAAAAAAACAACATCAAAATTTTAAAATTAAAAAAGACATCAAGTAAAGAAAAAAAAGATTAAAGATAAAGAAAATTACCTGTTGAAACCTACAATGATAAATTTAAAATATTTGAATAGTAATCAATATTTATCTTGAGAATAATAAAATAATCATAATAAGAACTAACTAATTAGGAGAAAATCAAAGGAACGATTTATCTTGTCAATTATAAATTGGAAAAAATATTTTGTTAATTAAAATGAGGATAAAGAACAAACAAAAAGGTGAAAGAGAAACGTGAGGATGGGGTGTGGGGTGTGGGTTGACATGTGATGAGTTAAAAAAAACCCTTAAAAGATGTAATAGATAATTACAAATTGATTCTCCTCTCTTTAATATTATTTCTCTCACCTATTAATTATATAACATTATATAATATATATTAGTTAATAATATATAATTAATTAGTTAATAAAATGCAATTAATAAATTTAAACTAATCTGTTAATACTTGTAATTAAAATGTTAGTAGGTAGTAATATAAAAAAAGTAGATCTAAAAGTTGTAATATTAACCCTTAAATAAATGTGTGTGGTGATTTTTCCATATCAATATTACAAGGAAAGAGGAAGAAGGGGTGTGTTCGATCTTCAATTTTTGTTTCTTACTTGATAATTTTTTTTTGAAATGATCTTAACTTTTAAAAAGAAATAGCTAGGAAGAATTTATACTGCTCAACAGGCATGAATTCTACATTTGTCTATAAGGATGAATTTGTGGTCAATTGAACAAATTTAATGCCTTGAAATATGTCGAACATTTGATTTATGGATAAAAGTTAGAATTTACGTCTATGAGTAACATACTTAAATTCTAATTTTGCCTATAAGGCATAAATTCGTGTCAATTGAATAGGTTCATTGTCTTAAAATGTCTTGAGCGTCTATCTCATGGATAAAAGTTAAAAATTATGATTTCTGCTTGATGACAACATACCAAAGTTCTAATTTTTTGCTTATAAGGCATGACTTTTGATCAATTGAACATGTTTACTGTCTTAAAATGTTCTAATTATTTGCCTTATGGAGAAAAATATATATATTTTAAACAAAGATTATTATTTTAAAAATAAAATAAAATAGTCAAGCGAGCCCAAAAACTTTAAATCAATTATTTTTGTAAGATTTCAGAGATAAAATATCAAGACCAACTCATCTTACGACTTAGGGTCATTTTTTAATTTGACCCAAAGAAGAGGGCTACAACTTTGAGCATAATCACTCTGGACTTGGGCCATATCTACTTTTTTTTTATTTTCTTTGTTTTAATTTAATGGATACAATTTTATTTTTTAGAAAATAAAAAATTAAAATGAATTGTAATTATGAATTCAAACATGAAATTTGTGATGATGAGAACATTTTCTGTGATGGGGAGAAAACTTAAGGAGCAATATTTATAATGTCAAATATTAGCCGTTCTTTTTTGTCATTTAATCAGCATAAAAAGGGGCAAAAAACTCATCTCCTTCAAATAATAATATACAACAAAAAGGAAATTATAATAAAGACAAAGCAAAATTAAAACAAAAAATTAGAGAAAGGCTATCGCCTCCCAAGTCCAACTAATAGACTATAAGATACTGGTAGCTAAAATATCAAATAAACGAATTAAATTAAGTTTGAATGGATCAAATTAAGTTGAATTAATAAAAAAAAATCTCTAAAATTATTTTAACTGAAATGAATTTAAATATGAATTAAAACTCAATTTATCTAAATTTTACTAAGTTTTAAATAATTATTTTATAAATTTTTAATAGCTAATAAGCATTTTAAACTCTTGCTAGAAAATCATATGAAATATATAATAAACATAAGAAACGTAAGCAAAATGGAGACGCACAACGCAAGCTGAGTCACGGGATATATACAGGACGAGGGTCCCAATCTGAATTGTCATTCATATATGGTTGCTTCCCAAATTAATTACCCAATAATTAATTAAAAATATGATCATCATTGCAATAGATATTATATACATATTTAATTTATTTTTTCTCGTCATGTTGGAGTTCCGACTAAATCCAGATCGCGCACTACAAGGTCTATTCAGGGGTGGCGCTCCTAACATGATTTTCTTCATACTCAACACTCAAACCCGAAACTTATAGTTAAGGATGAAGCAGTTTCACCACTGTACCACAACTCATGTTAATATATAAATATATATTACTATATATGAAGTGTACGCTTTTTCTTTGGTTGATGAGTTTCACAGAAACGTGTGAATTATAATACTCCTATTAACTTTCTCTAATTGTATAGTTGGATGATGTGTTATATTAATTGTTACTTCTAATTGTTGCATGCATGGTGGTAAGTACAAATTGAATTAATTTTTGTTTATTATGTGCCCTTTTTTACTTTTAGTAGAATAGAATTAATTAAATTATGATATATAAGAACAAATTAAACAAGTTAAGCTAGCTGTTTTGATTTCAAAAGCGTATTTCATACGTCACGAGAGAACAATCCCTCACCTGAATAATGTGATACCTTCGTCTCCAAGTGAACTATAACATCTTTAAAAAAAATTATCTTTTAAATAGTATTTTAAATGGGGATATCTCAAAATTACTATTTCTTCGTTTCAATTTATTTATTTTATTTTAAAACTCTTCTTTTAGTTCAGGTGTTTACTTCTTTATATTCTAAAATTCTTCTTAGTAAAACTTTTTATTGCCTCTGTCATCTTTCAAAATATTGTACATAAAATTGTAACTTTTAGATCGTTACAACTTACATATGTATCATTGTTCTTTTTTCAAATACTTTTTTAATACATAGTTTCTTATCTTCCCAATAAGGAATTGTTAACTTTAGTTGGTTTGAACGTGGATCTTGCATTAATGTGTTGACCTCTCGTGACAATATAATGCATGTCTACCTTACATGAATGATTGTAAAGAAACGTTTTATTATATCGTAACCCCCTAAGAAATGCGTGGGTTTTCTTCATTTATAACAATGACGTAAGTTATAATTGTCATCACCATCTCCACGTCCTCTAAATTATTCAATAAAATCCTATCAAGAAAAAAAAAAGAGAATATATATATTGGGCTAATTAATCAATTCAAACTTCTAATGTGGTGTGATTATATTATTCGTTTTGAGCCAAGTTCACACGATTTTTTCTGAGATCTCACATTATTAAAAGATTGTACATTTTATATATATATATGTAGCTTTTCAATATTTTCGGCTATAATGTGTGACTTTGTTACACACCCAACAATCTCAACCTGAACCTAGCTGCATTAATACCAATTGATGGGCTAAATCAGCTCAAAGATACTTGTAATATGATGTGATATTGTTGCTTTAAATCAAATTCGCACGATTTTTCCTAAAAGGTCTCACATCATTTAGAAAATTTACATCTTATATATAGCTTCTCAATCTTTTCAGCTATCAATATGAGACTTTATTCGCACACCCAACAATATACTTAATAAATAAATAAAAAAAGACTATACTTAATTGATCCTTTCATAGATAAGCCAACATATATATATTCATTCCAATGATTCTTGAAGACAAAAACAATCATTTATTTCTTCCAAACCCGTTAAGAAGAAAAAGAAGAACAAAATCCACTTTTTTGTTATTTTATATATTATACTCAGATAGATGACTAAATGAGTTTAATTTTCTTATACAGATGGTCTTATAATACAAATTGTATACCACTAAGTCGTTAAATTAGATAGTAATATATATCTTTTACACATCACCCCCTCTCAACATCATTTATTATGGGATTACACTAGATTGTTAATTGTTGTATTAAAATAAATTGAATTGGAACACAAGTCCAAACAAAAAAAGAAATGAAACCGTCAAATGTACTCTCCATGCATTTGGTGACATACAGAAAATTGCTTTTAGTCGAAGCTGCTGAGATGGCAAAATGTAATAGAATTTGATTGCTGCAAGCTTATGCAAAAAGAGGCCAAAGCTGGCAATCACCAAAGAAACTATTAACTGAAAGCTACTTTATTCGCCTCAAAAATCTTGATCTTATGTAACAATTTAATGGCAAGTTCTATGCATGAAAATAAGCTACCATGTCTTACAAGAAACCACCCCACCCCCACCCACCCTATTCCTACCTAAGGTAGTGACGGAGTCTGAATTTCTATTACAGGGTGTCAAAATATAAAAAGTAAAATTATTTACAAGTCAATATATACGTAAAAGGAATATTTATGTAATTTTTTGATAAAGAGGTTTCGATCGACACACCTCAAGTATATATGGATCCGGCCACTGCCCCAGACCGATCCAGTTCTTCAAGTACTACTCAATAGGTTTTACTTGTACCTTGTATATGTTAAAATTCCATTAAAATAAATTAATTTGAGAATATTACTGTAACGGCCTATACACTTTAAATCTTGGATCCGTCTCTCCTCACCCTGCCCCAAACCCCACACCCTATCGACGGTTCTTTGTTTGTTTTTTTTCTCAGTATACAGGTCATTTCTTGAACTTCACAAAAGCCCTTTAATTAATATAAATATGACACATGACAAACACTTCTCATTATAAAACTAACCCCTTTTCTTTAATCTTTCATTTCTCTTCTTTCTTCATTTTCATTTTCTTCTTGTTAATTCTGATCAAGAAGTTGTGAATTTGGAGAAGAAGAATTAATATGGGGAATGACTTGTTGCCTTTCTTGACTATGGTGATTGTACAATTAGGGTATGCAGGGATGAATATTATTTCAAAGCTTGCAATGGATTCAGGCATGAACCCTTTTGTTCATGTAGCTTACAGACAAATATTTGCTACCATTGCAATTGCACCATTTGCATATTTCTTGGAAAGGTACAAACTTTATACTGTGCCTATAAATTAAATAGTCGGTAAAAGTATATCTACCATTTATGGCTTCTATTTTCTCTTTCTCCAAGAATTTTAAAGCTTAAATTGCATGCATATTATTGTTGTTTGGGTGATTTTTTCATGATTTTTTTTATATTATATATATATATTCTTGGAACCATGCAAATGGTTCACGAAATAGACATGGCTTAACTAGCTTGCTTCTTCATTTCCACCTTCTTTATGCCTAGAATCTTGCATTTTCTTGATTTCTTTAGTATCATCTTTATCTTTTATTTTATTTTTTGGTTAAAAGGTATGTATCTCTTTCATGTGAAGGAGAAAGAAAATGGAAGAAACAAATCAACAAGATTTCATGTTAGGGGTATTATTAGGTTGATTAATATATAGTCTTTGTTATTTCCTTTTTTTTTTTTTTTTATTGTTATCTAGTCTAGTTTAGCCAGAAATATAATCACATAACGCTAGGAAAATGATATAGTAAGAAATAAATATAGCACTAATCAACTTATTAGTTGTACAAAATATTTTTGCATTGGACTCTAATTTTTTTTCTTTTTTCTTTCTATTTTCATTTAATATTTGAAGTGGGTTTTTACGTACATGTTTTGTGCAGAAAAACAAGGCCAAAGTTAACTCCATCCATCCTTTTCCAGATTTTCTTGTGCTCTATTTTTGGGTGAGTCACTTCTTCAACTTTAGTTTCTAATTAGATATACAATTTTTGCTTTGAAATTATAAAGTAAAAATCTGATGAAAGGCTCAATTGATATGATTTTGCAGAGTTAGTATGAACCAAATAACATACTTTGTTGGCCTCAAGAATACAACTCCAACTATTTCATGTGCTTTGTCAAATCTAACCCCAGCTGTCACTTTTCTTCTAGCTATCCCTTTTGGGTAATCATCATCATGACCTCATTAGTTACTTAATTAAGTACTCGTTCAAATTTTGAGATTCAAACTTGTAAATTTTGACAGGCTAGAAAGAGTGGGACTTGGGAGTAAAGCAGGGCAAGCAAAGATGTTAGGAACAATATTATGTGTAGGAGGTGCTATGTTATTGTCATTTTACCATGGATCTATTGTTCCAATTGATCAACCAAACATCCATTGGAAATATGCACAAGATATGACACAAAATAAAAGCACCACAAGCCATGGAAATTTCATATTAGGCCCTTTTCTACTCATTATTAGTGCTGTTTCTTGGGGAATTTGGTCCATCCTTCAGGTAACAAATTTTATTTTCATCAATATATTTTAATTCTTATAATTTTTCAATTGATATGTTATTATTATTATTTTTGGTCAGGCAAAACTAAGCATGGTGTATGCAGCTCCTTATTCTAGCTCAGCTTTGATGTGTCTAATGGCTAGTTTTCAATGTGTGATTGTTGGAATTTGCTTTGATCATAATATATCTGATTGGTCTTTGAGCCATAGCATCAGAGCTGTCTCTTCTATTTACTCGGTACGTATTTAATTTATATACACTATAACAGGTTAAAATATATTGATTGTGTAAAAAAGTGTGACTAATTAATAACGCGTTACTTTAATTTAAAATTACAGGGAGTGGTGTGCACTGCATTAGCTTACTGCTTAATGTCATGGTGCATAGAAAGAAAAGGTCCATTGTATGTTTCAGTATTCAATCCATTATTGCTAGTAATTGTAGCTATTCTCAGCTGGGGTTTGCTTCAAGAGAAAATCTACATCGGAACGTAAGTTAATTATTAAATTAAAGTGTACATATTCATCGACTCATCGTCATTATTTGTACTAATTAATTAATGTGTATTTTTTGTAATTACTTTCAGGGTTGTAGGGTCAATTCTGATAGTATTGGGACTTTATGGAGTACTTTGGGGAAAAAATAACGAGTTGAAGCTTCCAATAGAATTTGATGAAGAAATTGGTGATATTGAAAAAGAAAAACAGAAAAAGGACATGGAAATGCAGTTGCAGCATTAAAAATGCATGGACTTTATCAAGTAGTTGTAGAAGAGTATTATTTAGCTGAGCAAGCCTAAAAACTTTGTTGTATCATTACATCATTACCATTGTTCTTGGTTCACAAATATAATGACCTCTTTTCATTGTTATAACTTGATACATTTCAAAAATAAAAAAAATCAAACAAAATGGAACAAATTAAAAATCAATGATTTAAAAGGTATCTCTTTCTGTTTCCGCGGTATTTTTCGAATTTTGAGATTCAGCAAGGTTATCTTTGACCGTAAGTTTTTCATAAATCTTTTAAATTATTAATTATTGTGGCTTATAGTACTTTTTACGTAGTTTACAAATATATAAATTTCATTTCAAAAATTTTGAAGATTCTCAAAATATGAAAAGTGTCACATAAATTAGGACAGAGAAAGAAAAACTTAGACTCGTTTTTGTTTGTCACAGGAACAATTTTTTTCCCACGTGGTTTAAGTCTTGAATGTTTGCTTATATGCTTTAATACACTTTCTTAATTTCTAATTCGATTCATTTGATTATAATTATAACATGTACTAGAATTGAGAATTTATTTGGGGTAGAGAAAATGCCTCGAGCCAATGTTCGAATACCAGGCGCTATGGCGCTGAAGTAACCCATGCCATACTCCCAGGAAAAGCTCGAAAATTAGAATATTATTAGGTGCACATATATATTGTTATTATGTCTTCATGTTTTTCTTTCAATTTTATATAATATCATGTACTTTTTATCTATTTTTTTTGTTTATAGTTTGCAAATACTTTGAATAGCTTACAATATCACATACTATAGTTTTATAACCCAGTATTCCAGTAACATGTATCCTTCCTTTAATTTTTCACTCGATATTAATACTTATACTATAACTTTGATGCATATATGATAATCTTTTTCAAATTTTGAAATTTCAACTTAAACAACTCCATATTTATATCAACCACCAACAAACATAAATACCCAACAATCAATAACTACCAACTTTTCTATGATAAAATCACTCAACGACAACTTCTTCTTCTCAAGGATTTGTTTTTCTGAACCATATGTACAAGCGAATGTTGAAACGCTCATTTATCGAGCATTAATTATCATTATGTATAAAAATGTTCCAAAAAGTGAATTTGTACAACAGTATATCAAAATTGATGAAGAGTAATAACAAATAATTTATATGATATCTAATTTATAACATCACTATAACTATTTCAATTCGATTTAGAAAACATTTTTCAAAACATTTAAGCCAACCAAACACGAGAAAATTGGAAAACATTTTCCTTCATACCAAACACACCCTTAATTTCTAATTCGATTCATTTGATTATAGAGTAATAACATGTACTCGAATTGAGAATTTATTTACTAAATTAGAATATTATCAGGTACACATATTATTATGTCTTCACGTTTTGCTTTCAATTTAACCTTAAACAACTCCATATTATATGAGAAAATTTCATAAATAGCAAAAATAATAGACATAATAAGGCTCTATAACTATCTTTTCGGTCATTGCGCTTCATACTATAGTTTTGTTTGATATGAAGGCTGTAGTTTGTATATTTCGTTTGCCAATATACAAACAGAGTAAGTATATATAGATTTTGTATTTATACATTTAGGAATTTTTCAGAATTCCATTTGTATATTTCGCTTGTCAATATACAAACAAGGTAATTTATTATAAATTTTTCATAACTTTTACAAATCAAATGTATCAAGAAATTGTATACAAATAACTAGGGTAAGCATATACGAATTCTGAATTTATACAACTAGAAACCGAATTATACAAATTCTGAATTTATACAATTAGGAACCGAATAACAACATTACGTAAAACTGTAGCCACAAATTAAAAATAATCAAAACTATAGTTATATTACATGATATACTCTAGATATTTGCTATTTCGTGTAATTTTCCCTATTTATATCAGCCACTAACCAACATAAATACCCAACACTCAATAGCTACCAACTTTTTAATAATAAAATCCCTCAACAAAAACTTTTTCTCCTCAAGGATTTGTTTTTCTAAGTAAAATCTCATATATACGAGCGAAGGTTGAAAACACTCATTTATCGAATAATAATAATACAAAAAAATGAATTTCTATAATAGTATTTAAAAATTGATGAAGTGTAATAGCATATAATATTTTGTATATGAGATCTAATTTATAACATCACTTAACTATTATGTGACATTACTTATTAGAGCAAATTCTGTTGATTGCTTAAATTAAATTAGTTAAGTTGAATGATTACTAATTTTTTAAAATCAAGGGATGTAAATTATATTTTATGCATAAATATTATTTACAAAAATTACAATCGAATACAGTTCAATATTCGAAAATTTGCAACCGAAATAGTCTAATATACGGTGAAAAGCCTAATAAAAGAATCCAATTCTGTAACTTAAGTATTTGAAAATTCAAAATTGTGACATTAAAATACGTGAGGCTTTCGCTAAAACAAGAAGAGAACTTCCAAAGTTGCCCATTTCTTGTCAATTATACAAAGGGCAGTCTTTTTCTAGATCTACTGCCCTCTCTCTCTCTCTCTCTCTCTCTCTCTGATTCCTTCTTCATCACCGTAAGATCTCTCCTCCATTTCCTTTGTATTACATATCTCTCACACACACGTCGTTCGGTTCATAACAATTGATTTGACAAAGTTTATGTATGTATCTCTTTCTTGATTGAAAAGTTTGTTGAATTGGAGATCTGGATTTTGGCTTTTTGGATCTGGGAATTTGATAAAGTTTTCATCTTTCTTTGATTTCTTGTATTTTTGTTCTATTGATTTGATCTCCGTATGCTTTATTCATCTGGGTTCTTCTTCTTTTTGGATCTTGATTTGGGTGCTTCTTCTTTTTGATAAATGGATCCGGATTGTCATTGCCCAAGATCCGTTTTAAGTAGAGGGGTTCTGATTCTTTTAATTGTTAAACTTGTTGCTACTAGATCTCTCGATGAATAAAGGATTATTGAATTTATGATGAAATCTTTTGATAAAGATCCAACAGTTGCTTTTTTGATACATCAAATGTATTGAAAATGAAGGCTGAGATCAGTATGTTAAGAGGAGTACCACGCCACAATTTGGATTTTTATGTTGGCTTAAGATCATAATTTTGTATTGTGCATTTATGTAACCTCTTGATTCAATAAAATATGTTGTCTTAAGCTTGATTGATAGGTGAATGTGTGTGGTAATTGAATCTTAATTTTGGTCCAACAGGCATTGAAAAAAGATGGGTTTATCATTCGGGAAGCTTTTCAGTCGGCTGTTTGCCAAGAAGGAGATGCGTATTCTGATGGTGGGTCTTGATGCAGCTGGTAAAACCACCATATTGTACAAGCTCAAGCTGGGAGAGATTGTTACCACTATTCCTACCATTGGTAATTTATGTTGTGTGTACTATAGATGTTTTATTACTTGCAGAACTGATAGATGCCTATTATCGTAACATTGTCATTGTGTTTTTGTTATTAGTAATTCTGCCTAAACATCTCTATATTATACCTACAATTTAAGCTACACCCTTAAGTATCCATGTGAATACAAAACATCCTTAGAACATGTGCTAGACAGATGCCATCACCAAAACATCCATTGCCCGATCATAGTATTGCAGAGTTTCTTTGCAATAGCCTCCAATGGAATACTATATAGTAGTAGAGCTTGTTGAACACCTTGGTTTAACCACCAATAAAATTCCAAACTAGACAAGTCGATAATCAAAACTACCTTCTCTGGTCAGCAAAATTTATTACTTTAATAAGAAGCTATCAACTGTGCCCCCAGAAAAAAATAAATCTAACTGACTCTTCAGCAATATACTTGCAAGGACTCCTTTCTGCAGACTGAACCTAGTAGCAAATGAAAACCAGCACTGTCTAACTTCAGGGACTAACCTTCTATGTCCAGTTGTAAAACTGTAAAGAGAGCTTAGCTTCAAACAGCGACATAGAAAACGCTTGTATATAGGGTTAAATGGGTCCTATATCCTTCGTTGGTCATTTTCTTCAGCAAACTATACATATAAGAGAAGTCCCAAACTTTTTTTGATAGTTCAGAACATGCCAAACTTCTATCTTCAGCATGCAGTAAGATATAAGGTACCTTCAAGACGTTTGTTGATAAATCAGGGCACAGAAAGCTATTCCGCAGCTACCGGGCAAGGGTGCATCACTTTTTACATGAATGACTGGCTTTTTTTTTGTAAATTGTTACATAACTTTGTCCTATGTTCTGTTTCAATATATATTTAATATTCTAGATACAATTACTGCTGCAAACAGCTTTGCACCACAATTATGTTCTCTGTTTCTAGCAGCACGGTTTGTTCTGCTGACACACATTTGTCTTATTTCTGTTGATTCAAGCTATTGCTCTTAATGTTATCTGCAATAACTCTTTCTTTATCAGGATTCAACGTGGAGACTGTTGAATACAAGAACATAAGCTTCACTGTCTGGGATGTTGGGGGTCAGGACAAGGTACTTAATGCCTTAACCAAAGTGCTATGCTCTTTTCAGTATCTGACATTAGAAGATGATTGCAAGTGCTTCTACTTTGAGTTTGGCTGACTTCATACTGACCTTACTTCATGTTGCGAGTTATAGACAGAGCATTTCTGGTTTTGGAATTATATTTTCTTTCTATTACTAGTATTTCAAATTCACCATGCTTATTTTTCTGATTTTTTCGCTAATTGTTCGTACTCACCAGCCACCAGAATAACAGAAATATAAAACCAAGAAATGATCTTTTGTTCTGTATCATTGACTTTTAGCGTTCTTTGCTGCTATCAAGTACATACTTATCTAGAATCTGCAGTTATGCAATGACTTCTTTCGGATATTGACTTACTTTATGTTGTCTGTTGTTCCTTGTCAATTTTTTGGCACTTCCAGATCAGACCATTGTGGAGGCATTACTTCCAAAACACACAAGGACTTATCTTTGTGGTTG